AGCTTAAGAAACCAGCAGAGATAACCAAAACCGTGAAATACTTACAGTTGGGGAAAATAGTCAAAAGGCCTGCAGATGGGAGAAGGTGTCTGGTGGCTGGATGGGGACAAACTGAAAACAATGAAACATCAGATGTCCTCAAGGGTGGCCATGTAGCTGTGATCAGCAGACAGAAGTGCAACTCTTGTGATTATTACAACCACAACCCTTCTATCACCAGGGACATGATTTGCGCTGGTACATTTGGCAAAAGAAACGATTCTAGCTGTTATGTAAGTATGACAAATGCATGTTCTTTTTATTTTGTTGTTCATATATTTAATCATATATTTGATCTTGCTGATGTAGGGGGATTCAGGAGGACCACTGCTGTGCTACGGAATGTTGGTTGGAGTCACTTCTTTTGGATCTCATGGGTGCATGACAAAACCTGCGGTCTACTCGTTTCTCTCAAAGAAACAACTAAAGTGGATCAAAAAAACAATGAAGTCATCTGAAACCAAAAATCAGTGAAATCGAGCGGTACCAGCTAAGCGAGACGGGCATATTTGATGCTTTTTAAATCTGGCAGCTGCTGTCACTGTTAACCACTTACTTGAACATTATCCATTTTATTTCATTCTTCCTCTTCTTTATGATATTTTAGTTTTTACAGACTGTCCACATGATAGCCGCCCATAGTTAGTCTGTTAGGTAAATTTGGCACAAACATGAACTTTTTCCAAATATCATATAACTCAAAGTACATCCAAATGTGAATGCTCTTGTTTGTTGCAGACAACTACAATGCAAACAGGAAAAGGATCTTTTTAATATATACAAAAAATAAATAAATAAATGAAAGTGAAAAAACAAAGCGAGATTAGCCAAAGAGACTCACCATGGCATGTATTGCAAACTTAAGCTGAAAATAAATAAATCTGTAAGCAGACGTTTTGACAAAAATGACAAAAATTTTTTTTGAGTATGCTTTAATGTTTATTTCATTTCTCATTTTAAGTATTTTGCTTGAAAAGGCCAAAAACAACAATATTTTGTAATTAACTTTCTAGCTTTTCTACTTTCTAATAAAGCTTGTGGCATGATAAAAACAACAACACATCTGTCATTTTCGTGTTCTTTTCTTTTCTTCTTTTTAGTGCATTTCCTTAATTGTGTCATTGCCTTACAGTAATTCCTAAGTCTCCTAAGTCATCTTTGTAAAATTTATGTTTCAGTCTTTCAGTCCTTTAGTGTTCAAGTTAAAGGCATTTTATTCCTAATATTATTTATTGTAATTTCTGTAAACAAGCTACCGGATGGCAAAAAGTAATTATTCCTGAATCTTATCAAGATTCTGAAGTACTCTGAATATCCTGAAGTACGATTAAAAAAAAGTCTGATATTCATCATCGTTTGGAGATTATTGGAGGGAAAAGAAAAATATGGCCTTATTTATTTTTAACAGACTATGCAAAAGATAAGATGTTGTGATTGTTTTAAAATTGAATTGTAACAATTTCACAGATACAAGCAGGTTAAAGAATTTTGTAGCCTTACATGTCTGTACTTTAACTGTACATTAACTATTGACATTTTCTTATTATATAAAATAGAATAGCATGGTGAAATTGACATCCCTTTGAAATCATATGAAATCTCTGATGAAAGACATTTGTAGGTTTGAACATTGCATATTACTAAAACAAAGAGAGCTGGAAAATATTTCATGAAAAGTAGCATTGATATTATTCAGAAAGTAAAAGAAAATGAATCGATTCTGTGTTAATGTTTTAATTAAAAAGTCTTTCAGGCTGCCTGGCAATCTGATAACGTTGATAAAACTAGAGGATTAAAACTGCTACGTGTATTTAAAAGAAACTTTTTGTAGTATTTACTTACCAAATGTGTCTTCCTCTTGGTTTTACAAAATAAAACCAGATGACTGCTTGTAGATAAATAGCTGGCTCAACTTGAATGCGTTTGTTCATTCATTGTATACTCTAGGATTCCAAGAGTACCATATAAGTTGTCAAGTTGTAACGAGTTGGGCCATTAAAGTTAAATAGTTGACTCAGTTTGAATTTATGTCTTAATACATTATCTATCTTCAAAGATTTTTAGGACCATTATGTGTTATATCAACTAATTCAGTTACAGAAAGATGCACTACTTAAAACAATTAGTAGATTAACAGCAAATATCATCCGGTTCCATAAAGGTAAAAACAGCATCATAAATGAAATATATTTAGACAGCAATTTGTTTGAACTAGTATTTAATTTATTATTAGAGTCAACTGCTGTGAAGTGAAAAGCTATTTTCACTCAATAAATCTTATTTCTTTATTATTTACTGCCAACCGAATGAGAAAAACACAATTTTTTATCCAGTAAACACTTGGTGTCATATCAGACACTTCTCACTTATTTTCAGCTCATAACTAGTAATCCAGTTGGTAATTAAATTTTGCAGGTTTACACTATTCTGCATAGATAACACTTTATTGGACACTTAAATAAGCAATGTACAAACCCCAGTGAATTTTAAAAGCTGTTTAGCTCTCACTCTTATTTTTTTCAGGTGTTTACTCCAGGCTTGTTGTAATAAACGAACCCACACGCATTTTGTGAGAATATCTTACTTGCAATAACAGATTTAGATTCATTTAGTGAGCTAAAGTTCAAGAAGGCTGATGTAAAACCATGATACTTTGCTTTGGAAACTTTTGACAACTTTTGCATAATCTTCAGCAGCAAACTAGATGAACCACAAAAACCACAAACCAGATAAGATTTGAACTTCAGTGTGCTTTCCCAAACTCACAGTTATGACATTTTGGCTGTATTTAGTAGAAAATTGATAAATGTTAATAAAGTTGGCTACACTGAGTCTGACCTTAACTTCTCTAAGATATTGAATAACACTGTGACAGCATTAAGAGTCAGTAGAAGCAGAGGCTTTGTCTTTATTGGGTTAGGGGATATAATTACTATTTTTGTTTGTTTTGTTTTGTTTGTTTTTTTAATCAGAGTTTCTAAGCCTTTATTATTTGTCAGGTTAAACACTGGAAGGAAAAAGACAAAAGAGAAAAAAATAGAAAAAAGAAAAAAGAAAAGAAAATGATAAATGTAATTTTGTAAGTTTCCCAGACATGAAGACATTAGAAGGACTTTTGTAATTCAGTATACTGCATAAGGGTGGATACCATTTGCAATTTTTCAGATTGACCTCTTCCATCATAAATTTGGTCTTTGATTGTAGGTAAGTGTGAATAAAATGCAATTAAAATTTCAAAAATAGTAAATATTATTGACTTGAAAACCAAAGCTAGCATACAGGCTTTAATTCTAGCATGTCTTTATGCGTTATTTTATGAAGCAGCTAAATTCAGTGAATGCTTGCAGACCACTGACAGAATGTAAAATAACAACGTCACTTCTTTTCACTACATCCTAGATTTGTCATCATTTGCTTGCATGTCTAGAACACTGTCACCTTTATTCTTATCTTGACCTTTATGACCACATCCTTTTTATAGTGTGAATATGCAGCTTGTGATATCTTGGTCAATCATGCTATCTTTTGTGGTTCCAGATCTTTTGCAGTGCCTGCATTGCAACACAGTTTGTCACATTAATCTGTATTTCTTTCATACTTCTGTTTATTGCAAGTGAATAGTGTTTTACATTAACTTAATAAATTTATATTTTTATTTACTAATTAGTTAGTTAATTATTTATTTGTTGTCTACATGATGTAGACCAATTTCACTGGTAAAAAAAAAGATAACATCAGTACTGTTTGTTTCTTTTTAAACTGAAGTGAATTCAATTTAGTGTCTACTGTACCATACCACAGACTGAACTGCTGAACTAAGGCACTGATAAACACACGGTCACTTTTCAGTTGTCAGGTACTGGACTGGTCACTGTGTCCATCTCGCCCACCGTCTTCTTTATTAGCACCAAATATGATGTTAATATTTTGATCAACAACAACAGCAATGGTGATGATGACAATAATGATGATGATGTTGAAGTATTTCACTGTAGCTGTTTTTGTTCAAGTGTACTTTGCTTTTTAAATGAATTTGTTGATTCACAAGAATTCACAAGAAATAAATTAAGAGACGATCAAAGCTTTGGAAAGAAGAAACTTTGCAGAGCATGTGCTACTCCCAGTAGTCAGTAAAGATGTGGTTGCTTAGATTTTTTTTGTTTTGTAAAATACTACATTATGTTTTCTCTTGCCATATCAATATACCATCAAATGCAATTTTCTGTATTTGTACAGCTCAACTGTTGCCTTTGTCTAATTCTTCATTATAGCCAGCAGAGGGCAGCAGACATTCTTATACGTCATCATCTTGGCTGGGTGGTTACCTTTAACCTGGCCACAATCTTCATCCTCAGCTCGGTATATTCATCTGTCATTGCATGTGCCAAGTTCATCTGGTTCATTTCCTCTACTCTCTTCTACTAGGGTTGGCTCATTATTTCCGTATTGCTCAATATTGTTCCTATTGTGCTGTGACCCAGGGGTAGGCAAGCACACAGCAGGTATCTCCTATTAATGTTAATGCACAGAGCTACTACTGGTGGTGTTTCTTGGTCAATGTATTGGCTTTTTCCTCAACCATAGTTCCCAGATGCATTGCATATAACTCCTTTTACTAGGTTGATTGGCATAGTTCAACATTATCAGCCTTTTTCCAGTACCCCAGTTCTCGTCAGTATATCCTCAAAACTTGACTCGAACAGTCCTAATACCAGCAATGTCTGAGCTGGCTTCACTTACATGCCCCCCACACCCTGTTGGATAATAATTTACACAATGTTTAATATTTACTTTATCTTGTCAGTTTGATATATGACAGGCTCATTGCACCTTCTTGGGTAATTCTGTTCTTGTTGGTGGATTGTTTTGGAGGTTTATACCTTTCTAAATATATATAATCTAAAATTTTGTGTGTTTATTTAAATTTAGATTTTATACAAAAAGAAAAAAACAACCAAAAAGAGTGATGAATGACCTGAGATTTTTTTTTACTCTTGATACAGCCTAATGACACTATCTCCGAGTTCTACAGCCAACTAGATTAACCACAGAAATAACATTTTCCCAGATTAAGATTTACTGTAATTAGACAACAAACATATATCCATCTTCATAATAAAAAGAAATTAAATCTCCTTTCCTTTCAAAGGTTTTACATATCAGAACAAAATAGTACAAAAGAAGATCTGGTCTAAAAATAAACACATTAAGGCTTCACTCTCCTTTCATTTCACACAGCACTTTACTAAAGCTCCTTGCCAGTCAATTATATATATATCATATATTATGTATGCATCCAGTCTTTACATTACTGCCACTGTGGCCGCAATCAGGTATTGTTGCTGAAAGCTGCACTTCCTTCAATCAACACATGATGCGATGTCATGACCGCGTAGACATAAGTGACGCTTCAAGCACAAATGCATGGGTCAGTCTCACAGTGTCTGGGTGTGTCTGTCTCCTTTTAACAATGACTGGAGCTGGACAAGCTGAGAGTCCAGCAGTTTTTTTTTTGCTTTTTCTGATGGTTTGTGCATGCGAATTGTGGCTAAACCGCTGGTGTTTGTAAACTGAATGGAGAGCAGCTCACAAGCCAAAGTACCGTTGGTCTGCTCTCACCGCTCTGAGATCGGTTAGGATCTATGGAAACACAGCTAACATTAGCATGTCCTGGCCTGTTGGGTGCCCTGGGCAACCGCCCATGTTGCCCATATCAAAAACTGCTCAGAGCAATTACATTTTCTTGTTAAACCCAGGGTTACAGAGCTCAAGCCTATCCTAGCCGTCATAGGGTGCGCGCCAGGGTGCACTCTTAAAACTACCCAGCCAACCTTGAAAACCTGATCTCATCTCATCTAATAACTGCACCATGCTGAGCGAAGACTGCATTTTTTTGTTTCTGACTCCAGGGGAACCTTTTTACTGTCCCCTAAATCATTTACCGGTGATTTATTGCGTTAAAATGAGCTAAATGACATCACAATAATATTGTCACTACAGCAACTTTGCTACAATTACATGTCTGCTGAGAAATATTTGAAACATTTATTTATTCTGCATCTACATAAAACACAAAGCAATGTAAACGCACAACTACAATAACAGTGTGTCAAAGCAAAGATTTATGTAAGACTTAACAATGCTTTTTCTTGAGAATCTCGTTGATCCAGTCAAGGTGTTTTGCGATATCCACATAAACATTGGGTGCATCCGGGTAGTCACATCTGCCCCATTTGTTGAAAGAAACAACTCCAACAGCTGTACCATTACAGATCAGAGGGCCACCAGAATCACCCTTTGAGGGTTATTCAAGAGAAAAAAATTTTTATACACTGTTTCAAGTACACATGAGTTAGCAGTTAATCTTAAAAAATCAAACAAATAAAAAAAAACATACCTGACAGAACCCTTTGTTTGTGCCATAACCACCAGCACAAATAAGACCATCCGGAAGACCCGGCCAGTTCTCCCTACAGACCTCTGGGCTGATAACAGACACATCCACTACTCTCAACTGGTGAACTAATGGACCACCAGTTTTTGTCAAACCCCACCCAGCCACAAGGCATCTTTCATTTTCCTTTAGCTTTATTTCAGAAGAGGGAAGTTTAATAATTTGGATGCTTTTGCTTGGTTGGACTTCACTAGAAAGCTGGGAACAGATTAAGAGATTGTATATGCAAATGTTCTAGAGATCACAAATATGTCTTCTGTATATTAAGCGAAAAAAAAAAATCTACTTACTTTGAGTAGCATGATGTCATTCCCATTTCCAACACCTATATAATATGGGTGTATGCATTTCATGATTACATCTTTCACGGTGTCAGCAGGCTTGCTGAGATCGTGGGTGCCAAGAACTATTCTCCTTGGATTCCTAAATAAGTTGCAAGTCAGAGATAATCAGTAGGCTTTCTAAACGGTAATGGTTATCTGTGTTTGTGTGCGTGTGTGTATAATTTTAAGGGAGAAATTGTGACATACATTGTGCAGCAGGTGTAAAGTGTTGCATATTAATATTAATAGGAACTTCTGAAATGATTTCTTATCACACGACCCACAAATTACCTGCAGGATTGATTACTTACCCTTCATCACAGTGTGCAGCAGTGACCACAAAGTCCTCACTTACAAGAAAACCTCCACAACTGTGGCCGTAGTTGTTCTGCACCGAGGCTATATACAACAGTGAGTTCTCGGGAGCTTTTTCCCCATTTATAATTTCACTTCCAAGTGCTAAAGACATCAGAAGATAATCAAAATGAGTTAAAAGTGTCAATATTCAGCTTGCAGATGGCTAAAAGTATTTGTATAGTGTGGCTTACCATTTTGTCCAAGGCACGTCAAAACATGAATTAGCATAAATTGGTGCAAAGCATACATCTTGGCAGAAAGATATTCGTTCTGTCACTATGGAACTGTGTAGCAAACCCTTTTATGTGGTTTGCACTGACTGATGCCTATCCATTTTATCGCAGCTGCAGTGACTTCCTTTGGTAAATGTGGTAACTTTCCAAAACAAACACTTCCAGTTATCAGCACTGTTCAAAACTAGTTATTAAATGTATACCTCTTTCTCAGTAAAGGTCCTTCAGCATGACACTTTTTGGTAACACACACATAATGACTCTTAAGCATTAGTAAGGTATCAGTAAGTACTTAATACTGGTGGTGGTCAGAGGGCCCGGTGGCGCCAGTGTCCGGCAGCCTCGCCTCTGTCAGTGCGCCCCAGGGCAGCTGTGGCTACAATGTAGCTTGCCATCACCAGTGTGTGAATGTAGTGTGAAGCGCTTTGGGGTCCTTAGGGACTGAGTAAAGCGCTATACAAATGCAGGCCATTTTAATTCATTATTTATAAAGCATTAGTATGCATGTGAAGGTTCTCAGTCATCCAGGTCATCGTATGCAGTTTTTTAGTATGCAGTTTATGAGAACAGATAAGTAATATGTTCATTGCATCACAAACAGTAATCGGAGACAGTTACTAGTTGTTAAGTATTTTGTGACCTCATCTAAAGTGAGGACTATTTTTGCCTTATAAAGCATTTATAAAAGTAAATGAAAGTACCTCAAGAGTTGAACAAGTCTCAGCTATCTTCACAACAGAAAAGTGATACAGACAAAGCACAAAGAGATACACAACATACAAATGTATTGCTAGATGCAAACATAGCACACCTGAGATTTGAAGAACAAATGTAGCTAGGCCCACAGTCGAAGTTTGAAAAAAGGGGCTTACGAGAGAAAGATACATGAAGACGTTAGAGCTATAGGGTACTTTAACATAATTATACTTAAATTTTCAAGTCTTGGTTCAAACTGTATGATCCAAGACATTCCTTTTTTCTGTCCCCCTCCCCAGCCTGTTGAATGGGGGGGAGGCTGTAGTGTTTTATTATAGGACACATCCTATGTGAGGTCTGTTTTCTTGTTTAGTAAACTTCCTGCCTTATGACCCTTTTGGTGAGCAGGAGGTCACACAAACGCTCCCCAAACACACAACACACACACATCACATCACACACACACACACACACACACACACACACACACACACACACACATCACACACACACACTCACACACAACACACATAGTCCTTGTCTTTTAAACCATAGGGTTTTTTTTACAGTGGGTGTTTGTGTAAACTGTGTGTCACAGAAATAAAAGGCTGCAGGAGAGATGGTTCTTCGAAGTGGTCTGACACCGAGGGCAGAAGGGCTGCTCTGAGATCCTTCCCCCCGCAGACCCAACCATCTGTATTTGTAAATTACATACTAAGGAGTAGTAATGCTTTAAATAATGATAAATTAAGCACTTAGTAATACCTTACTAATGCAGAATTGTGTGTCAAAAGTGTTGCCACTTTTGTGCCTCCTACTGCATTACTGAATAAAGCTTACAGTTGGGCTAGATCAGGTGATCTTGAACCATACTTCAGTTATGCTAATAGTCTAAGTCATCTAATGCACTGAATATTTTTTTTCCGCTCACCTCTTAACATTCTCAGTGTGATTACACACTATCTGTTATATGATGCTCTTCTCTTTCTCCCCACCCCCAACAAGGCAGACTTCATTAGACTAGTTCTGTTGAACTTTTCTTCCTCTTAAAAGGGAGTTTTTCTTTCGCACTGTCTGCAAGCGCTTGCTCATAAGGGTACATCTGATAGTTGAGGTTTTCTTTCTATTATTATATGGTCTTTCCCTACAGTACAAAGCGCAACTGTTTGCAGCAACTGTTTTTGTGAGGTGGTGCTATATAAACAAAACTGAATTAAACAGAACAAGTGTGATAAGCCAGGCAGGTGAGATTTTTTACTTAGTTTGAATCCACAGGCTGAGGCTTTTCTGTATAAAGTTAGTGTATAAAGTTTGCATGTTCTCCCCTATACACAGGTTCTCTCCTGTTACCCCCCCCCCCTCCCCCACAGTCTAGACGCATGCTTGTTAGGTTACTTGGCAATTCTCAATTGGCCATACGTCTGACTTTGTGAATGCATGGCTGTCTGTGGTAGCCATGTGACAAACTTGTGACTTGTCTTTCACCAGTAGGTGGCAGTATTTTACAAGATAGTGTTAGTATATTTGCGCTTGAAATCAAAAAAAGGATTTGCCAGATTCAGTCAAATAAAAAAGTCCCTTGTAAAACTGAGCCAAAGACAGAGTCAAGGTGAAAGAAAATTTGTGAACTGAATTAAATTTGTGGACCCCAAACTGCAGCAAGTCCTCTGAGGCAAAGTCAAGCCTGTGGGTGATAAAATAGGTGGGTTAAACTTTTCTTCAATCAAATAATTAGGGTAGAAGACCTATCCAACACTGCTTTGTTAAGTGTTGGACTAGTCACTCTTCCATCTTTTGTTTCTTACATCTTTCTCATTAGATCCAAATTTGTCATTTTTAACCAAATTTTGTTAAAGTTTACATAAATATCTTAAAAACTATGATAATTGTATTAACGATTAATCATGGCAGTCAAAACACGTAGCTCACGTAGCTTTTGTTTGCCCCTGTGTGCATCAGCGAGTATCTGTACAGGAGAAAAAAAAGTTTGAAGTAAGCTTTCTCAGAGTATTCAGTTAGCATTTTGTATTTTTTTAGATCTCAAAGAAGATATAAAAAAGACGTTAGTTGGACTTCATCTGAGACCAAAATGACCTCTACAGTATTCTTGTTTCTTATTGTTTTGTAAACTAAGACTACAAAAGGAAATTAGACAGAAAATTTGGGATAGATTTTTATTGATATTTTCTCACACTGGTAATGACAGACAGCCATTATATTTTTATTCATTTATCTTTTGCTTCTACAGTAGCAACACAAAAACACATTTTTAGGAAGATGTTGCAGTTAGCAGAATCCAATTGATCCACTTAAGGTGTTTGGAGATGTCTGTGTAGATATTGGGTACATCTGGATAAGCACAGTTGTAATTTTTGTTGAAAGAAGCAAGACCAACGACTAACCCGTTGCACACCAGAGGACCACCAGAATCACCCTGTCAGGAAGAAATAGGGAAAATATCCATTTCATATTTAATTTAGGTTGTTTGGGTAATTGTCAACAAGAAACAAGCAGACACATTCAATGAAAGAACAGAAGCCATACCTGACAGAATCCTTTGTCTGTGCCGTATCCACCTGCACAGATAACATTGGCAGAAAGACCGGGCCATTGTTCCCTACATACATATTGGTTAATGACGGACACGCTCACCACTCTCAGGTCATCTACATTTTCACCACCAGTTTTATTTCTTCCCCAACCAGCCACCTGGCACACTTGATCTGCTTTTACGTTCATTTCAGCACATGGAAGTTGAATTATTTGTACTTTGCATCCGAGCCGAGCTTTCCTAGACAGCTGGAGAAACACATTAGAAAGAAAAAAATCCCAAATTCTTAATTTCATAACATATTAGCAGTGTTATTAGAATTGAAATCATTAAATCAACAATTATGGCATTTGAAAGTGTTAATTGTATGAATACATACTTACTTTAAGGAGCATGATGTCATTACCCCACCAAATGTTAGAGTAAGAGGGGGACTTAAATTTTTTTTCAATATTTATTTGATAACCCTTCTTGATATTGTGGCTGCCAAGGACAACATGTGTGGGGTTTCTGAAGGAAGACAATCATTAAGAGCCATCAATTAAATTGATGTAGTTACACGAGTCAAAGAGGTCATCATGAGAAGACTGATTACTTACTCAACGTCACAGTGTGCAGCAGTTACCACAAAGTCTTCAGTGACAAGAAAACCTCCACATATATGGCCATCAATGTTCTGCACTGAGACCACATACTGCATTGCGTTCTCTGGGGCCTTTTTCCCATTTATGATGTCACTACCATGTACTACAACAAAAAAAAAACGTCAAAATTAGGCTGATGCTCCATTAAATGATCACTGAAAAACAACCAAGGATTGTGATTCTTACCAATTTGTCCGAGACATCTCAGAACATAGATGAGCAGAATGTTTTGCAGACCTTGCATCATGGCAGTTCATTTGTAATTGTAGGTGTGTCAAGATGACCCTTTTATACGGCTAGTTTCCACTGATGGCATGTATCAGCACAATCTTTTGTGTTTTGACTTCTAACCACATCCTTTGCTCAAGTAAGCGTGCAAGTTCTGCATTTGTATTATCCTTGCATGATCTAGTTCGTCCTAATTACTTTACCTCAGCAGTGTGAAACAGATTGTATTATGAGTGTTATGAGAAGGTTTATTATTCTGACATTATTTATTCTTTATTTTCTTACATATGACACCGTTTTGCATTCACTTTTAGTATGAGTTTGGGATTTGACACTTGATTTGGTGCTTTCAGTATTATTATACGGACCTTCTGCTCTTCTGTAGATACAAATCAAATAGCTTTTGTTCTATGCAAGGACATTTTTTTCCCCCATGCTTTTCGTGCTTTCTATCTATCATTCACTCACGAGTGGCTGTATCAAGTTAGTATCTTGCCCAGGATATTTGGTAAGTAGACTGGATCATACAGGGGTTGAACCACTAACCTTCCAATTAGCAGGTGACCTGCTCTACCTAGTGAGCCACAGCCACCCCACAGTCTGTTAGCCTTGTGTTGTAAGATGCGACTAATTGCTTGTAATTAACACTTAACTTGTAATGTTGACATTATTTGGATAATGTAAATATAATAAATAGACCAAGTAATTAATAAGCTACTGCTGTAGCAAATATCTATTTCTATTTTAGACAGAAGCAACATTATTACCAGATCAGTATCAGTATTTCTTTTATAGTTATGGCTGTAGCTCACTAACCTATCATGTCCATATTCTGTATTTGTTAGATTTAAGGCCTGGTTTGTAAACAAAGTTTGTATCATTTGGCTTCTTGCTTAATTCCAGTAATACTTGACAGTTAGGACTCAATTATTCCCATCTTCCTCAAGGACTGTCAGGTCCAATTCATCTTAGAGTTGAATACTAATGTAATTGGTTAACTGAATTGAGAAATAGTTATATTTATTTGTTTTTAATTTCAGTTTATTTGGACTATAATGTCTCAGATTTTTATGAAAATGGTTCACACACATTGCGAGAGTTGTAGTTTATTTAATCTAACAAGTAAAGAAGGCTCCAGCGCCCCCCGCGACCCTGAAAAGGATAAGTGGAAGCGAATGGATGGATGGAAGAAAAGAAGGCAGATGCAAGGCTTCTTTGCCGTAGGAACACTTGACACAGTGATATTTTGCATCAAACTATGAACTGCAAGAACCGGAGATAAGATTATAATTTAAACTGTGCCTATAGTCATGATTATGAAACTGTTGCAAAAGTTAGTAGAAGAACATGTGCACAAATATTGACACGTTCTCATGAAAAAAGGATTCATTCTATTTTTGCCAGAATATTGCAGTATTCTGCCGCCAATACTGGTGTAGAGTGGGGTTGTCTTAGCGACACATTAAAATTTGACTTAGGTCCCCCAAGGTCTTCAAGGCCAAATTAATGGTTTATTAGTCAAAAATTGACAAAAAGTACGCTTGTTGTGTGTGGTGTGTTGATATATTACTCCAATATTTCTCACAGCTGGCCATGGTAATGCCATTCAAGTAAAAGTATTCACTGCGTAATGACATGATTCAAGTAGTCTTGTGGAATGGTCTAAAAAGAATCTCATTTTAAATGTGTATAAGAACATAGATGGTGTTTCAATTTCGACAGAAGAGGACAACAACATGACCCGCATCCTTACCGGTACAAGAGGTTGATCCAAGAAAAATGCAGACTGCAATAGAGAAGATGAGCAAGCTCTATTTTCTGAGGGAGATGAACTCTTTGATATGTGCAGCAACATGATGGAGATTTTCTATCACTTAGTTGAGCACCATCTACTTCCTAATCAATATAAAATGATTAAGAAGTGGACTCATCTTTCAAGCTCTTATGAATATGTTCATCCTCACTGTTTGTGAAGTTAAACAAGTTAAGCAAGTAAAACCTTGCTCTATATCATTTGTCATCTTTCTGTTATTTTGAGTTTTGGTAGTGCAACAGCATTTCTTCAAATTCCTTAATGAACCACAGAAACCAGTTTTCATCTTCAGCGTGGGTATCAGAATCAGTGGTCTTCCAGTCAAAGTAAAAAAAAAAAACCCAATGCAATCTAAAGTGACACATTTCCTGCTTTAAGAAGTCAGTGGTTAGTGTAGCTACATTGAGTAATTCATAAACTAAAAGCAAACGTCATCCAGTTCCACAAACTTAGAAGCAATGGCACCAGCAGAGTATGCCAGTTATCATTATTTTATTTACTATTAAGGTCACTTCTAACAGCTGCTAACTGAAAAGCTATTTCCACTCATTACTGCACGTCATTGGTTTCATATTAACAGTCAGCCTAATGGCAAAAAGAGTTTCTGTTATATGGCTTTTTTTTCTACATACCGAGACCTCCTGACATACCACAAATGTTATAAATTTGTCACAGTCACTGAAACTAACACTATATATATATATATATATATATATATAAGAAACTGAAAGTTAAAAACTCAGAAATAGAGTAGCAGTACAACCAAAAAACGTTTTTAAAAAAACATCTCTTGTCTTTTTAACATTTCTTTTACAACCCATCCTTCACCTTGACGAACACTACAGTAAAGCATCAATTGAAGATGACTTTTCTAATGCTTAATAGAAAAGAAATTCTATCATTCTTAGATCACGGATACTTATGAGCTCACTGAAACAGTTTTGTCACTTCTGATACACTATGACTAAACCACAGAAACACATCTCACAGTTACCAGATTCTGTTAGAGCAATCAGTATTCTCAAAGTATAGAATTAGTGCATTTACATTGGCTGAACAAAAATGAACAAATAGTAGGTTACTCATAACTACTGCCATTACATTTTTCCATTAAATAACAGGTAACATTCAAACATTACCTTCTATGTGTTTATTTAACGATTGACAAAAGTCTAAACTGTGTTTAACAGCTTAAGAAATGATGCTTAAAGAAGACTCGGGTTTTAGACAAGATCAGATACTTTTGGTATATCACCTCTGTGGGACAATTTTATTTAGTCGGGTCACATGAGGGTATATTGGGATTTAACATCACTCTGGGTTCTTGGCTAGTAATACCATTGTTGGAGCTGCTTTTCAAGAGCTGATATTGTGTTAGCAATACAAAGGAGTTGTTTCCCAATTTTAATTTCAGTATTATTTATTTGTCTTTTGATGCAAAAAAAGATAAGTAGAAAATTAATATAAACTTCAAGTAATAGAAATTGTAAAACTATTGTTTGACTTCAGACTCTATAATGTTACATCTGCAACTTTGTACTGGATGCAATATCTTTGAAATTGCAAGCAAAATTGGTAAAATGTTGAAAAGATAAGTTTTTTCTTAAAAGTTTATCAAACTTTATCAAGAGTTACATGGCTGTAGCCTGTCATGTCTGTTAGAGGTTGATAGACAAGATACCCTGAACAGGTCATCAGTCTCTTGCAAGGCTGGCAGAGAGATGTTTGCTTACTGTACAGCTACAGTTTGTTACTTAACCTAATAACCGTGTCTCTGAACTGTGGGAGAACATGCAAAACTGCAAAGAAAGACCCCAGCCAACCAGGAACCTTAAAAAATAAAGCTTCTTCTCTCACCCCCATTCTCTGCGACCTGCTGGAGCGGGGGGGCTAGGAGGAGGAGTTGGCGTCCGACTGCGGTCTGGAGTGTGGGGCCTTCCTGCTGCTGCGGAGTCGGGGCGGTCTGCCTCCCCCCACCGCAGGGAAAAGGGTAACACCACCTGGGTCTGGGTGCAGTTCCCCCCTCCAGGGGCAAGGGTACCTAGACCCGGTTTGTAGAGTACGCTTGGGGAGTGTGATCGTGTGTACAGCGTCTCTTTATGTCTGTCTCCACGTTGGTTGAGTGTGGAGTAAGTGCATATGAGAGCATGAGGGTGGGAATGGATGTTTGTATCTGTGTGTGCCTGTATGTCTGTGTCTATATGTCAGGTTGGGTGTCAGGCGCCACCTCTCTGGGGACATCTCAGGCCCTCCAAGGTTTGGAGGCCTATCTCCCCCTACCACCACTTCCCCTGCCAGTGGCGGACTCCCTCAGACATCGGTGCGTTGGTGGTTCTTTGTGTCCGGGGATGGGCGTCCAGGTACACACCGGCTCACTCCTTGGCGGCGCTTATCGGGGCCTGGAGCCTGGGGCTCGCTCGGGCCACTTCGGAGGTGGGGTGCCCCCGGCCTCTCGGCCTGGGGCTCGGTCACTCAGGCACGGCTGGCTGCCGGCGGAGCTCACGGGCGCGTCACTGCAACTCCCCCTGGCTTCTGCTCGCGGCTGCTGAGTGAGCCCTCATCTGGGACTCTCCTCAGCTCTTTCTGGGACAGTGGCGCGGCTGCCCCTCTGTTGGTCTTCCTTGGTCTCTTGTGTTCTGGGGGCCTCTGGATGTCTGGAGTTTTGATCTCCTCCATACCTGCTTCATGCCCTGGAGGACGGGGCTGTGGCCCCCCCACACCCTCTAGCAGATCATTACATGAAGGAACCTTTTAAAAAACAAAAAACAAGCGCGTCCATGCTCACAGGTGTACACACGGGTGATCACACCCACAAACTACACCCTTTTTGGCTCCTACCTCAAAGCACACTGTGTTCTGTTGATCTTATGTGCTGCACAATAATGTTTAATATTTAGTATTTACTGTCATATTCCCATATATCATTGTGATGTTGTTTATTCTATTACTCTTGTTCTCTTCTGCTTGTTTCTTTTTTTCTTTCTCAGCAGGTGATCCAGGTGATTGATATATGCATTTTTTTTTCTCTGCCCGTTCTGTTGGTTTTTGTTTTTGCCCTTCTCCCCCGTCCCTCTTCTCAGCTGTTTCTCTTTCCCTCTTTCTTTCTCCCCTTCTTTCCCCCAGTCAAGTCTGTCCCGTATTCAGTAAGTGAAAATAAAATAAACAATAAAAGGTGAATCAAATGGACCATTACGGCAAGGCTGGGATGGTCAATTTGGTAAAGTAAATCCGTTGGGCATCTTTCTTTGCCTTTAGACAAAATTCTGATGGCAAAAGAGCCAAACGGGACAGGCAAAAAAAAAAAAAAAAAAAAAAAATTTAGTAAGCATATGCTAAACAACGCCACATGATGTCCGACCAAAATGCTGAATTTTCTTTTTTTTTTTTTTTACTGTACGCACAGCTGTAGTAAAATGTTCTGGTAAGACACTGTCCTCTACTGGTGAATAGTTTAGTTGATTTTTACAAATCTGATTACAAACAACTGCCTTCAGCAGGCAAACAGTGATATACAATGATTACTTACGATTATAAAACATCAGCAATCAAAATATGTTCTAAAAATGCTGCAAATGTTATAATTCTAAAACAGCTTGATATTCATCATCACCGTGGTTTCATCCACTGCAAACATTTCTATGAATGTACTGTGGATATATCTTCCATTCATTTTTGCCAGCATTCTATTTTATTGAACTACACACCATTGTATTTACTTAAGCTATTTTTTAAAATATAAAAATATAAATATAAATGTGCCATATAAATGTGTTTAAATTAATTTTTAACCATATATTTACCAAATCTGGGACTGAATAATCTTATCTTAATAATGCAATATTATAGAACACTTGGGTAGTTAATTTAATTTTAAAGCTGAAGAGAGAGTACTATCAAACTGGGAAGGATCTCAGTCACCCAGGTCATGGTAGTTTGAGGAACTTGGAAAGAAAGTGACTGAACTTCTTTAGATTTCTGATTCACCTTTTATCCAAGAGTCTTCTTCTGAATTTAAGAAGGAACTGAAGAAGGCTCTTGGATGAAAGCTGAAACATCTTCGAGAAATGGAAAAAGAAGTACTGGATGTCTTTCCAAGTTCCTTAGATTATCTCACTCTTTTTACACACCAATACTATAGAAGGCCTGTTATTAGCTGTTATCTGATAAAGCTGAGGAGACACACACATACTTAGCTTCAGCTGTCTCCAAAAATCAATTACGAATAAAATGAATTGTCACATCTTTATTAATAGTTACAAGTTCCCTTCAAGTAAAGATTCAGAAACAATTTGAAATAAGTTGTCAGTTCACACAGTATATGAATTTAGGTTTGTAACAGTTCTGAAACTGAAATGTCTGCATATATCACGCCGCGGTTCCATCTTTCCAGATCAAGCCACCCGTGTGAAGTGTTGAAAGTCTGCAAGTGGGGTAAACGAAATCTTTGCAGATTGTTCATGTGACAGCTGAGCTGGAAATTAAGTTGTGATCATTAGTTTGCATATAATCATCATGGGTATGAATGCCATAGTAATTTTGGGCTTTTAATAATTTCTTTGAACTTTCTCTCTCTTTTTTTTTTTTAAGGTGGAATGATTGTACAACTTTTATGAATTTTGGAAACCAGATTTTGGTGTACAATTTTGAATGCATTGTGGAATTTCTCTAATCCACTTAGAGTGAAATTGTTATATAGAGGCTTAAATATATACATACCCTCACTTAAATCTTTTAATAAGTGGTGGTGAAGGCTCTACAATGTCTTAATTTGACAAGGTGCTAGGTCCTCATAACAATGTCCAAGAAACTAATTGAGCCATTTCTAAACAAGCAGATTATCAGTTTAAACAAATTAGTACAATTTACTCTGATATGTCACCACTTTGGCAAGGTCCAGAGGAAGACCCAAACATCTTCCAAGCCCTCAGGAAACAGGAAATTGGTTAGAATATTAAATACTAATCATGAACCAGCCAGACTTAACCCTGCTATGACCTAGAAATGGCTGAAGCACCAGTTTCACTGTCAATGCCTTCTTTAACCCCTGAGTATAGTGCTATGAATGACACATAAATGATGCTTTTGCACCTTTCATCTTTGTATGCGATAAGCACCAGTAGGATTGTCCTTTATGTGTTATTGGATAATCTCAGATCAGTTTGATGTTGAAAGGAGGATAGCGATGTGAAATAAAAACTCCCCTCAAATATCTTAAACATAAAGTAACAAGCCTGTATGGAATAGAAGGAAGAAAGTACAGAAATGTGTGTAAAAATGCACAATAAAGAGTAAAATGTTGCCAGAGAAATAAATAAATAAAGTATAGATCCCTAAAATTTCTACTAAATTAGAGTAAAGCAGTATGGTTGAGACTGAGGAAACACTGGCGGTACAATAAATATGAAACAAAACAGATCTAAAATACAACAATTCAAGGGCTAACGACTCTAGAACACGAGTGAATAGAACTAAAAAACAAAGCTAAAAACCCAGAGATCATGACAGAGAGCAAAATGTTTATTTTTGCTTCTACTGTAGTAATGCAAAAATACATTTTTAGGAAGGTTTTGTAGTTGCCAGAACTTTGTTGATCCATTGAAGATATTTTGAGATGTCCGTATAGACATTGGGCACATCTGGGTAGTTACAGTTGTGATATTTGTTGAAAGAAACAATACCAACAGCTAAACCGTTGCACACCAGAGGACCACCAGAATCACCCTGTGAGGAAGGAGGATTTTCAGTTTTCATTTCATATTTAATTTAGGTTGTTCAGCTATTTGTCAACAGGAAACAAGTAGACATAGACAATGAAAGGACAGAAGCCATACCTGACAGAATCCTTTGTCTGTGCCGTATCCACCTGCACAGATAACATTGACAGGAAGACCGGGCCATTGTTCCCTACAGACTTCTGGGTTAATGACGGACACGTTCACCACTCTCAGGTCATCGACAACTGAGCCACCATTTTTAGTTTTCCCCCATCCAGCCACTTGACAAATTTGATTTTCTTCCAAGGTTATTTCAGCACATGGAAGTTGAATTATTTGTACTTTGCAGCCTAGTTGAGCTTTCCTAGACAGCTGTAGACACACAACAGCATTGAATTAGAAATGTCGATGTCTAGTACATTTGTAGTATTTATGTAATCTAAATAAATAAACCATAAATTACATCACCTGTAATGGTTGCTTGTGTAAATATATACTTACTTTAAGGAGCATGATGTCCTCACCCAGCCAAACATCATTAAAATTGCTGGGTTTGAATTTCCTTTCGACGATTATTTTTAGATCACTGCCCTGCTGGAGATTGTGGTTGCCAATAACAACATGTGTGATGTTCCTGAACAAGTAATCATTGAGATGTGGTGAATATGTTTAAGAAAACTATTTTAATGGCGCGCATCAGAGACTGCCTCACAAGAAAACAGATTACTTACACAGCGTCACAGTGTGCAGCGGTTACAACAAAGTCCTCAGTGACAAGAAATCCTCCACATACATGACCCTTGCTGCTCTGTACAGAAGCCATGTACAACATTGATTTATCTGGCGCTTTTTTACCATGTATGATGTCAGTTCCATATCCTACAAAAAAATGGAAAATAAAGTAAGCCAAAACACTGTAAATGTCACATTAACACGCTCTTATGATTCTCAAATGACACACTTTCTCTGTGTATATACATAGTTTCTCTTTCACATATTTTGTCAATAGCAGGGATAGTGATAATGGGCAGAAAATAATATTAATGTCATTCTTACCTAGTTGTCCCAGACATGTCAGAACATAGACCAGCAGAAATGCATGCAGACTTTCCATGTTGCCACTGAAACAGCCTCCGGGGGTGTCAAGGAGACCCTTTTATACAGCAGTTTGCTGTGTTGTCAAGTATGATTATCATCGTTCTTATTTTGACTTATAACCACATCCTTTATTCGGTGTATGTGTGCCCTTCATTTGGAACCTTGGCGTTATCGTGCTTATCATAACTGCACAGTACCTCACCAGTCTTAACCACATTCTGTGTCTTTTTAGACCTCCTCTTCTTCTATAATCACTAATCAAGTCAGATCGATTTAATCAGTAAAAACAGACATTTTAATTCTTTTATAAAAACCAAAGTCTGTCAGAATGATCGATTGGTTGTTCTCTCTGAATTACTTTCTTTCCTTTTCTTGCCTTAGTTTGTTCTTACTAGGCTACTGTAGACCTGCTTCTCTTCACTGTTTGTAAGTAAGTGTTTTATGAGTGGTTTATATGTCATTGATATTGCTGAATGTAATGTGTTCCCCAAAGTAAGTTACGGTTAATCACACAACATTTTTAAGCAACGCACTAATGTAAATGTTGAATAGTTCCTGGACTGGTTCTCACGCGGCACTTTTCTCCTCTACTTGAGGTATGTTGTTTGAAGCACCCACAGCACTTTAAACAACATACCACATTCACCCATTCATTCATACAGGCACTTTTTTTTTATGCTCAAGTGCTGTTTACACTCTGCATACATCTGAGAGTAACTTGGGTCTAGTAACTTGCCCAAGCATGTTTGGCATGCAGCGTGCTATTATATTAAATTCAGTAATTCACTAAATTCAGTAATCACATTACTGTTACAATGATGTAAGTTCTGGCATTGCAAAGATTCTGAACTCATGGGCATGAATGTCAAATGGAAAGATATCTTTTTTTTAATGCACACTTGCACTGCAATCACAGTAAAGCTATTCTGAGGTGACTACACCTGTAGTATCACTTCTTGTAAGACAAGCTTTTCGTGCCCTCTTTTCCAAGCAAACTTAGATATCAGATTAGATGGTGACAGTTTTAAACCCACAGATATAAGAGCGGTACAGCTGCAGTTCTATTTTTTTAATCTCAGCTTTTGAACACTGTTTTCGAAACCTTATACCCTTTTGGATACTGCTGACTAACAATTCATAAATGAATAACACAAAGGACACACAGCTATTTTTTTATGTAGCTCAAAGCTCACTGAAAAACTTTACATTCACTGTGACGAAGTATAACTGAACCACAGAAACCGCAGATAACAAATTTCATGTAGAACGTCAATGTTCTCAATATCACAGTGATGAAAGTGAAATATAAAAATATAAGCTTACTACTAAATAGTAGTAAGGGGGAACACCTTAATATATTTACATGTTTATATGTTATGTCCTAAGTAAATTTAAAGATTTAACATTTTTCACTCCAGTAGTTGGTGCTAGTATGAAAGAGAGCCACCTCTTCTGACTTTACTGACTTCAGAGTGACTTTGTGTTGACCTCACATGTCACAAAGCCACTGGAGAGATTGGCTCTCATCAGTTCACAAGTGGAACATGTTCTTGACCCCCTTCAGTTTGCTTACCAGGCTCTTGTAGGGGGTGGATGATGGCATTATTTACATGCTGTGGCACTCTCACTCTCAGCCAGGTTATATTGGTGACATTGTGAGAGAAAGCGCTCTAGATGGATGTCACCACTCCAACTATGTCCTAGATTTCTAGTAATCTGTCGGAGAAACCTTAGTTTGATGTTCTGGTTAATGATGTTTTACACTACCTCACATTATAAACCTTGTATTATGGGCCTCTAACATGATGGGCCAAGACAAACATTCTGGAAATACTTTGTTTGTTTGGTGACCTGGATGAACTGCTTCAGGCAGGAAGAGCATGGTGATGATTGCGTGATATAAGATAAGGTGTCTTATACCATGGTCTGCAAAGCTTGAAACACTTTCATAGCATTATCTGACAAGAATGTGATGAGTTCAGCAAATGTTGTTAGATCAAAGCTGTTGTTTTTCTTTTTTGCTCCACTTTTTTTTGGGTTCCCTTTTACACTGCTACAACTAGATGACTAAGAGAAACCACAGCGTCAGTCTTCAGATTTTACCACCTTTGCTTTTGCATGTGTTATGGTGGCATGTGCAAGTAATTTCTTAATTCCTGACTGCCAGCAGTGTGTGTGTGTGTGTGTGTGTGTGTGTGTGTGTGTGTGTGTGTGTGTGTACACCTGACTAACTGGTGATACTTTTGACTGGTGTATTTTACCCATATTTTATTCACAATAGAGCACAAAAATATACAAAACGTTTCAACTGAGAAAATGCACCAGTTTGAGAATTTTATGGCAAATATTTTCAATAGCAAGAGAGTGTGTGGAGGTCATAATTATATATCTAATTATTAGCAACAGTAGACTAACAAGATGTTAACAGTACCTTTATATAAAAGGCTGTAAATTGTCTGTGAAAGAAAAACAATCTAGGTGCTTCATTTTGGTGGTGGTCATCTTACAATAATGAAGCAGTCATCTTATTGCCCTTGAAAGGTATAAAGCTATCCACCAAGCTATTTTCTTCTTATTAAATGCATGCTGTTGTAACTGTCTTTAGTTAAGAGGAAGAAATCAATCTACACCTGCAGTTTATCACTGGGCTGTGTAAAAACACAAAACAGTACAGAAAAGCCCCAGTTCATACCCAGAAACTTCTTTCTGTAAGCTCTTCTGTAACCTCTTACCACCCTGATCTCAGACCAAACACACACATTTCTTGTTTATCACTCAAACTTTCTGGTAAAACACTGTCCCCTAGTGGTGAAAATGGGAGTTAAATTGTCCAAAATTTCACTGCAAGAGCAAACTGATGCCATCATGGTGCCATAAAATGTCTTTGTTTCAATTTTCAGTGTTTTCATTCATTATTACTGTGTTTTCCTCCATTACACTGATATCTATTCAAGCAATGGGTAACTGATCCATCTAGGAAGTCACTTAAATTAGCTGTTTAAGGAAGCAACAGTTCACACCTTAGAGCTGAACTTCATTACACAATGCCATACCTGTTCCATTTAAGGGTAGCATTGTGCTTGAGTGAAGGGTTAGCAAGAAGGGGCTTTGTTCCAACCCTGCCTTACACCCTTATATGTGAGGTTTGCATGTCCTCCCTGTACCTGTGTGGTTAGATCATAGATGTGAAGTAGATAAAGTACTCGAAGTGTATAAAATAAAGCGCTGTGTGACTATATGGTTTTCTTATTTTTTTAACAACATAATAAAAAATAAGGCACTGAGTATATAATTTCACATTCATCCAAGTGGCATTCATGAATAATAAAATAAATGATCTAATTATGGACGGCCAGAGTTGTGTACCTGAGATGACCATATAAGGGATGTTTCCTCTCGATGACATCATAAACCTCCAAGGGTAGAAATAATCTGAAATGACGTGTGTGGAGGAATCTGACGCCTGAACTTTGGGCTCCAGAAGATTATTTGTATACAAAATGACTTTTGTCATGTTTAATACAAGGCTCACTATTGACACATTATATTTTATTTGAAATTGAACTGGTGTCTGGATTTTGGTTTCTTTTTCATAAATAACAGCATTCACATTATAAACTGATGTAAAATAAAATGTGAAAAAAGACTACTAAATACAGGAAATTAGTCTATTATCAAAATTTTGTGAAGTCACTTGACTTCCCAATAGCCACGTACAATTCTGATGTCAAACAAAACTATACATTTTTTAAAAATGTATTTGTTCTGATGACATTTTTATCTCATGATATGGATTGAGGAGTTTGTGCCCTGGTGAAGTGCCTGTCCATGTTTCCAGTATCGGGCAGGCTTTAGTAAAATGAGATGAAATTGCCCTGGATATGACTGTTTATGAGCTTTCTGACTTGTCAGTGGATATTAGTTCTCGTTAGTTTATGTAATACAACCAACGAACCACAGGAAAACCTCCTTTGACTTTTTTCATACGTGATACTAACTTGTGCACTTCAAAGCTACTATGTCACTGATCTATTTGTAAGCTTGACAATGAAAGAGTCATCAGCAGTTTTTGTTAGATATTGCTTAGATATTGTTAGATATTTTGTTAGATACAGTTAATGTTAGATATTGCTGAATTTAAGCAGTTTACACAGCTCATATGTCACTTGCCTAATAGTCTTACAATACACACGCAATAACATGGAAAATATTTTTTACCCTTTGCATTTTTTTTTCTTGAGAATATCTGTGATCCAAGGAAGAAATTGCGATATGTCTGTATAGACGTTTGGGACATCTGGATATTTACAGCTATTGTTGTTGTTAAAGGAAACAATGCCAACAGCCGACTCGTTACATACGAGAGGCCCACCAGAATCACCCTGTGAGGAAGAAATATCAATTATTAATTTGTTTTTGTTTGATAATTTTGATGTTTAAACTATGTTTGATAATTCATATGAAAAAATTACCTGACAGATTCCACTCTTTGCTTTGTATCCACCGGTGCAAATAACATTTTTTAAAGTTCTTCTCCACAGCTTCTGACACTTGTCCTTGTTAATGATGGGAACATCCATCACTTGCAGCTCATTAACATAACCAGATTTACCAGGTTCTGTGGGCCCCCATCCAGCTACACTGCAGATCTCGTTTTCCTCCAGGTTTAGTTTTTGAATTGGAAGTGGAATTAGCTTAATTGGTTTTTTGTTACCCAGGGGAACTTTCTTAGACAGCTGGAAAGATAAAAAACAAACAAACAAAAAAAACCACAGAAAATAAAAATGATTATTTATATCAGTTATGAACATGTCAGATTTGTGTGTATTTAAGGTTCTCCAGTATTTTTCTTTACGTATCTCTCAAGACATGAAAGTGCGTGCACTTGCATAAAGCAAATTACTCTACAATAGTATCATTATCACAAGCGTATTTAGATGTATTAATATATCTATTAATGTGTCACGTGTTTATTATTATTACAGCAAATTAAGAAAAAGTGCTTGTTTGTTTTGGAACTAGAAGTCATTTCATGTATTACTGTTGTTGCTGTTTTGTTTTTTTTACCTGTACTACAAACAAATGGTAAATGGCCTGTATTTGTATAGCGCTTTTACTAGTCTCCCCTAGGGACCCCAAAGCGCTTTACACATCCAGTCATCCACCCATTCACTCTCACATTCACACACTGGTGGAGGCAAGCTACAGTTGCCCTGGGGCAGACTGACAGAAGCGAGGCTGTCATATCGCTCCATTGGCCCCTCTGGCCATCACCAGTAGGCGGTAGGTGAAGAGTCTAGCCCAAGGACACAACGACCGAGACTGTCCGAGCCGGGGCTCGAACTGGCAACCTTCCGATTACGAGGTGAACTCCCAACTCTTGAACCACGATCGCCCAAATGTGTTTTGATTGGTTGACACTTAAAGAAAATCATATAATTTTTGAATGGTTTGATTATAAATGCTGGCAGAAAGTGCCAGAAAATGTTTCTCTGAATGATTTAGGGTTTTTTTGCTGTTCTTTTAATTTTATTGCTTTTATATTTTCCTCCCTGTATTAACTTTTTTAATGATTGATTGATTCATAAGAACGTCTGATATCTTTTGTGACGTTGAGGCTGAATAGATGAATACTTACTTTGAGGAGCATGATGTCATTCCCATTTGCAACTTCCTTGAAGGCAGGGTGTCTGCAGATCATTTTTACTCCATATCTCATTTTCTTATTTTCCTTCCTGAGATCATGGGTGCCCAGAACAACACTTAAGGATTTAGGATTCCTGCAGGAATGATTGAAAAACAAAATAATTATTTATATTTAGATGAATGTGACATTGCTTGAAGTATCGGTGGCTACTCACTCAAAACGACAGTGCGCAGCAGTCATTACAAAGTCTTTACTGACAAGGAATCCTCCACATGTGTGTTTTTTGTTGTTTTGTACTGATGCCATATACTGCATGGACTTTTCCTCAGCCTTTTTGCCATTTATGATTTCACTTCCCAGTGCTGAAAATAAATGAAGAAAAACTGAGAGAAATATAGTTTTTGCATAACTTTAAGAAAAATATTTTGCAATCTTACCATTTTGAATGAGGCATGTCACAGCTGTGACTAGAAGACACTTCTGTAGAGCGTGCATGATGCGTGGAAGTCAAGTAGAATGTCGTTGTTTAGGGGGGCAGTTTGTCTGCTTTATGCATCACCTTGCAATGTTTCTGTGGCTTTTCATCAACACTTCCTATCAGTCACTCCTCCCACATCAATCATCTATCTCCACTAAACATGTGATTTTATTTTTTCTCTTAAATAAACTTGAACTAACTAATTAACTAATTGAACCAAATTAGTTTAAATGTAATGAATTATAAATGTAATGAATTTTTAATTTTTATATATATATATTGTAAAACCAAGCAAAGGTGTGAAACACCAAAGAGTACCAAAACCTGTGAAAAACTGTGAGTCATTGAAACCACTTTTTCCAGTTACACCTTCACAGTCACATGTCAGATGCAAAAAACAAAGAAAGACAGAACAGAAGACACAAGAGGGTGCAGACACAACAGTGCAACAGAAAAGTGCAACAGTGACAGTTGATTAAATAAGTCTTTTAACATCACTACAGTATGCTCTCTCTATCAAGCCTCTTTCCTGTTATTTCCTGCTAGTATATTACATTTGAATGTGTAGTTGCTTCTAGAAGTTTGAGATGAACTTCAAAAATGGACACATAGTGCAGTAAGTACACATATTAGAGATTTATTTATTTATTATTTATTTATTTCACTTCCTAGTGCCCAAGAAGAAATGTAGAAGATTTGAGAGAGAATATTTTCACAACATATTTTGAAATCTTACATTTTTTTATAAGGCATGTCATAGCCTGAAGAGAAGAAGAGAAGAGCAGAAACTTCCTCAGAGCGTGCATGACACATAGAAGTAAAGTAAAATGTAATCATTTTAAGGGGGGCAGTTTGCCTGTTTTATGCATCACTTTGCAATCTGTAAGCGGTTTTCATTTAACACTTCCTATCTTTCTCTCCTCTCAAAATTTTGTTGCACATTTATCTCCTCTAAATGCACACATGTCTGCATGTGTGTGTGTGTTGAAGGTGTGAAACATGTCTTAGCATCAAAAATCATCATCATTTTTACAAGCGAAGATGTTAGTGTAGTGACAGTATCTTACTGTTGAATTTGACCAGCATGAAGAAACAATGTGCAATGACAATAAAGTTGAATTCTAAACTATGTTTTCTAAAATAAAAAAAATATATAGGTTGCTGTCTTGATGCGTACTCAATCTTCCAGGTTAAGAAATCCTAAAAAGTCATTAACAAACAGATAATTTCCACACGATATGCACAAAGATATATATTATATATTTATATTATATATTTATTGTACAGTTGTCAGTCTATCGGTATGTTATTTACCATAGTAATATAGTAAATGTGATGCAACTGACATATACTTAATCTATTATCTCTATTTTATTAGTTATTTAATTCTCTATTTATATGATTTTTGTTCTCTGATACTTTTACTGCATTGTTTTAATTAATTTTAAACCTTGTTAGGTCTCCTTTAAGTTTTTATCAGTGTTGGGCAAGTTACTTTGAAAAAGTAATTAATTATAGTCAGTGTTGG